TAAAATCAGGTGAGTGTAAGAAGCTATTATTCTGAATTTTTTGATATATATATATATATATATATTTATAATTTGTGTGATATGTATGTAAAATTACCTTTAAATTTTCATTTGGAATGCATACCACATAATTTTTATGTATTTTACAGCTATAACAAATTAGTGTAAAAAATTTATACATAAAAAAGTATATTTTCATGTAATTTTATAGATTTGAGTGGCGGGCAAGAAATATAATTTTTTAGGTGTTATATATATAAATAAAAATTATATCATATGTCTGTAAATGCCCCTTTTCATTATCCATACAAAATTAAAGCTGCTGGTGGGGTATAAAAATGGAGAAAATATTATGTCGAGTGAACTGTATCTGCGTACGACGACATCGTGGTCAAGACGGCACCGCCGATGGCCGTAGTTGGCCAGAGTTAGGGTCTGTTTGGGGCAGCTGCAGCTTATTGAATAATCTGCTGATAAGCTAGGTGCGGTAGCTATTATAATTTTTATTTTCTTGGAAAAGTCTGACCGCAATCAGAAAGCTGTCATTAGGCGTGAAAAAAAAAGCTGTTTTCAGCTTTTTGAAAACTTATAAGCTGCCAAAATTATTTTTGAAAAAAAGCTGTTTTCAGCTTTTTGAAAACTTTATTCCGCATTGCACACGCGCTTTGCTATTTTTTTTAATTCTGCTCGTCGCCTTTTTCGATGGCGTCAGGCCATCTCTGTAGCTAACTAATTCATGGCGCTGCTGCTCGCTAAGTGTTTGAGAGTAAGATAATTTGAAGGGAGTTCTTTCTGCGCTTGCATTTTCCCGTCATTGTTTTATCGAAGGTATTTTCTTGTACTTCCTTTCCTTGATGGCAATTTCAAGATCTGTTTATTTGATTATTAGTTTTGTTTTTGTTTCCTTGATCGAATCTTGTATTTGCTGTGTTTGGATTGTTGGGCTGAAGGAAGATTAATGAGTGGGAAATGAACTCCGCTCCTTGAGGTTTCCTGCAATGACATTCTTAAGCTTCACGGACTATTTTGCAACAATTTGATGTGTTTCTCACTAAACCGCTGATCTTACCGTCTCTTTCGTTCCAATTAGAATTTTCTTTCCTGTAAGGGCTTTGGAGTTAGGTTTCATGAACATCTCCCGCTGATTGTTTGTTAGGAACGTACGGAATGTTTTATAGAGCCGTGGGAATGTACTCCAGAAAGCCTTACATAAATTGTGATGAACTAATTCGGCAAATGTTTTCAAAATCACCTCTGTAAGTCTGTCATTGGATTAGATCGTTTGGTGGTAAACTTTTGGTTTTTACACCCGTTTCCTTCAATTTGGTGTTGATGTCATTGACATTGTTAGAAAGAACAAACCCATGGTAAATGCGACGTATGGTCAATTCCAACATGGATTCAATAATTTTGCAGGAGTACTTTTAGAATGAGAACGAGGAAGTATTCTCAGCTAGAAAGAAGTTGTAACTAATTCCTTTTAGTATACTTTTCTTCCTCTACTCATTAACCACTGAGCACCATCAACACACACAAATTTCTTCTCTTATCATGATATTTTTTGTTTATGTGCAAAAAATACTAACTATTTCAATTGAGGCCAGCGTTGTGCTCTGCTTACACTAAGTAAACATGTGCGATGAATTTATTGGTACAAGTACATGGACACATGAATTTCATTATATACATCCATCAACTAAATTTTGGCTCCTTTCTTCCTGTATATGTACAAGTTTGCTGTGAAGAGATAGATTACTAACCCAACCATGCTTAGTCCTGCAAGCAGCCAATAGAAGTAGTCTATATGAGCTCGGTTTACATTATCTGAGAACCAACTCTCTCCTTTCTTGCGGGTTTCCTTGTCTATTACTAAAACAAGAAAACCACTTAGAATGCTTCCAATGCCAAATGCACTGAAGGCAAGAGCGACCCCTATGCTTCTCAGAGCATCTGGCACTTGATCATAGAAAAATTCTTGCATTCCAACCATGGTGAACACATTTGAAATACCATACAGAACATACTGTGGAACCAACCACCACAGACTCATTGGAATCGTTGCACTTGGTTGGTCAATCAGCCCATACTCTTGTGCTGTTTTAAGTCTCTTCTTCTCTACTAGAGCAGCTATCACCATGAAGGCTATGGAAATTGCCATTCCAATACCAATTCTTTGTAGCATTGTGATTCCCAAAGGTTCCTTGCGATATCTTTTTGCTAGAGGGACAATGATGTGTTCATACATGGGAATAAACACGATGACAGCGATTGAGACAATGCTTAATAGTGCAGCAGGTGGAAGTCGGACATTGGAGCCAATTCTTGTATCAAGCGTCTTTCCTTGCTTTGTGAAGAAAGTTATTGATTGTGCAAATACAATGGCATAGACTAAGCAATTCGTCCATATTGGCAATAATCGAAATACTTCCTTTGCTTCTTCCATTTGTCGATAACTAAGGAATAGAACTTCTTCAGACTTTGTACATAAAAGAAACGTATGGAAATAATCTGGTAAATGTAGTTAAAGTAAAACTTACTACTATTGACTGTAAGGCATGCATAATTATAGTTTTTGTTTTCCAGTTATGTGGATAGACAGAAAATTAGATTAGGAAGATGGTACGTCGTGATTGATATATGTATATAGGATAGCTCCCTTGGGTATTGCATGGTTTTTTTTGTTTTTATAGTGTGAAAGATTGCACTTTATTCTTGAGATTGAACCACTGTAAATCTAATGAAGAAAATGTGTGGCATCAATGTAGCAATTTATTTTGTTTCTAATAAATGAAGTTATAAAAAAATATGAAATGTATCATTAGTTTTCAATCTCAAAACAATATAAGATTTGATTTTGTTTGCAAGGTGATGCCCTTTCTTTTAGCCATTATTTCTCTCTTTCACTGACAAGTAGGGTCATGAATTTAGATCAACGATATAAAAAAAATTCAAAAATTAATTTCAGATAGTCTCAATTAGTAAATCTATCAGATATTACGCTGGAAAAGTCTAATGTCGCGAGAGGACCAAGCTACTTTCATTCCTAGACCGGAGAAAACTCAAGTCATTCATCTCAAAAGATGCGCCCATTATGCCTTTGAGAGATTCAGAGGCCTGTTGATTGTTACCTATGAGCACGATGTCATCGACATAAATGATGAGGATGGCAATACAATCGCTGGATGAATGGCGGAAACACATCGCATGATTAGATTAAGCTTGAGATAAACCATGACCCACCGTAACTTGTGTAAATTTGCTGAACCAGACCCGTGGGGATTGTTTCAGGCTATAGATAGAAATCCTCAATCGACACACTTTTCCACGGGAAGAGGTAATTAAAGCCAGGTGGGAGAGACATATACGCTTCCTCAGCAAGATCGCCATTAAGGAAATCATTCTTGACCCGTTGAAGGGATAATCCAGATTCATGGCTAGGGATAACAGAATCCGAATAGTATTTAGTTTAGCTGCCGGAGCAAATGTTTCTTCATAGTCCACCCTATAAGTTTGTGAATATCCTTTGGTGACTAGCCACACCTTGTTGCGTTTGAAGCATTCATCAGTGTTAAATTTGGTGCCAAAAATTCACCTAAAACCTACCGTTTTTTTCTCAAGGGAAGATCAACCTTGCCCCGAGTATGGTTTCGTCGAAAAGCATTCATCCCGTCCATGATAACAGCCTTTTAGGATAGGTCAACCAACTTTGCCTCAATACTGAATGGGAGACAACGATCCGTCAAGGAAGTGGCAAATGCTTAGTAGGTTGAAGATAAGCTGTGGAGCGAGATGTATTTTGCCATGGGATAGAAAGTGGATGACTGTACCTGTTTGCGTTCCTCGATGAGGGAATTCAACTCTTTACTCAGTTTAGGAGTGATCACCATAAGTTGAGAAAGCATCGTTCTGGGGACGTTGGTTGGAGCGGATTCCAAGATCTACGGTGGGGCAATGAGCTCAAAGATAAGGGCATTGGGATGAGTCTCAACATAGGGTTTTGTACGAAGAGTATAAATACAGAGAGCAGATGGAGTTGATGTTGGTCTGGCTTGTGGCGAATCCAGTGGGGTTGAGGGTTCCTCGGACACAATGGTCATAGCAGTAGGTAGAATGTCCAATACGGAAAGGGAACAATGTTCTGAAATTCAAGTTTCCCCTCACTTGAGGCAGTGTTAGGGAAGAAGGGGACATTTTAAAAAAATGAGACATCGACACTGACAAAGATTTTATTAATGGTAGAATCAAGACACCAATAGACTTTTTGAGTGGCAGAATAGCCGAGAAAGTCACATTTAATTGAGCGGTGATCAAGTTTACTACGAGCGGAGGAAGCGTTCTGAACAAAGGCTGTGCATCCAAATATTTTGGGATCTAATATCGAGAATAATCGATTGGTATGAAAATACGACATCAAGATGGATAGAGGGGTCTGAAAGTTGTGGATTTTTGTGGGAACTCTGTTGATGAGGTAGGTGGAGATAAGGATGACTTCATTCCAAATATATTTGAATATTAGTATGAAACATAATGAAGCGAGTAACTTCGAGAAGGTGTTGATTTTTCTACTTGCTTATCCTATTTTATTAAGAGGTATCCGTACAGGAACTATGATAGAGGGTGCTCTTTTTAATCAAGAATTCTCCCAATATAGAGTTAAAGTACTCATGGTCATTATCAGTCCAAAGGACTTGAATAGTTGTTTTGAATTGGGTCAAAATGAAGAGTGGAAATTTTAAAAAGTGACCGCAGCTTTAAATTTATGTTTTAATATATAGATCCAAGTCATCCGAGTGTAGTTATCAATTAAAGGAAGGAACCACTGTTTATTGGTATATCTTGGAGTTTGAGAGGTCCTTATAAGTCATTATGAATAAGTGAAAAAGGAGAGGAAGGAGTGTAGGGGTGAGGTGGGTATGGTACACGTTGATATTTACCTAATTGACAAATTTGACATTTAAAAGAAGATGATTTTTTATCAGTAAACATCAAAGGGTACAATTATTTTAAATAGTGAAAATTGGGATGACCCAAATGATAATATAAAAGCAAAATGGAACATGCAATAGAAAGGGAAAACTGCAACTATGAGATTGAGTGTCTGTTTTATCCATGTCATTTTCTTGGATAAGGGTCCGACTACCTGCTTAGAGTTCCAATCACCCTTCTCGAATGATGATCCTAAAAGATACAAATATGAGGAGAAAAAAGAGCAACACAATCAAGGTCACATGTTAACTTACTGACAAGAGGTTACACTTAAGCAAATCAATGTGTATTACGGATTCGAATGTCAGCCCAGCTGTTAGTAAAACTAACCCTTTACTCACAATGAATTGCAAGAGCCTTCAACAATTTTAATATAATCTCGCCCGGAGCACGGAAAGTATATCGAGAAAAAATGAGAACAACCGTTCATGTGGTTCGTGACACCGGAATCAATAATCCACGGGCTAGAAGGAAAAGCAATAGGTGTCATAGAGATGTTATCTTGACGGGCATGAGAGATCGACGAGCGGGAGGAGAAAAAACATGATCCAAGCAGCTTAATTAAGTATTCCATCTGATTCTTAATAGTATTTGGTGAGTCAAGAATGGTCCGAATAGGGATCGGCTGAATTTTAGTGTATTTCAAGGTCGTGATGAGGCCTTTTGCAGCAAAAGATTTGGCTGAAGACTTAGTCGCTGATTTCCCATGGAGCTTCCTACACTTGTCGCAAGTGTGGCAAGGTTTGTGACAAAAGTCACATGTGAAGTAGTTAGTTCACGACAACGTGGTAGAGTGTGGAGTATTGTTGGAGATGAATGCTGGCGGCTCGACTGAAGTAGTTTAGTTGTTGAGCATGAAAAGTTTTTGGCTTTCTTCGTGAAAAATCTCGATGAAAGCTGCTCGTGTTGAAGGAAGAGGGTCATGACTTAGTATATGGCTGCAGACTTCATTAAGGTTCTTATTCAAGTTAGCTAGAAATTGGAACACAAGATCTCCAAGATTTTTTTTGGAAGAGGGAAAGATTTGCAGAAGAGTCTCATGTGAGTTATAGCAGAGGTCACATTCCATCCATAAAGTAACCAAGTCATAGTCAGGTAGAATGAAGATCCAGCTGCAGGAAAGGATTTCGACGATTCTTGGGAGGAGGTCCGGGGGCTGAAGGTAAGGATCTTGGCTCGGGAAGACTTGTAGGGAAGAAAATTAAAGGGCTTCTAGTTGTTGGCTTAGGGAAGATCCGGCGGGTAGTCCAGCTGTAGCAAGAGAGTTCAGCGACTGTAGGGCCATTGGCCAATAGCTCGGTGGCTGGAGAAGAATCCTAACGACTAGGGTTAGATCCTGTGTTTGTGATACAATGTAGATTTTGGGAATTGAACAGGAAAATTTCATTGTTATGAAAAGAGGGTATAAATACAGGTTACATGAATTATAAAATAGGAAGGACATAACACTCATATAACTTGGAATCAAGTCCTTTCTTAATAATCTCCCGGAGATAAAAGGAAATACAAAAATTAGAAAACAACCGGAAAGGAAATAAATCAATACTAATAATTTTGTATAAATAGGAAATACCCGGAAATGAAATGAATCAATACTAATAACTTCTAATATCTTACATTTCTAAATTCATATATTTTAAAAATGGTCCTAAATACATTTCAACAATTTCAAACAGCCAAAGCTTTAAAAAGGTAAATAATTAAAATATTAACTCTTTTTGTGATAGAAATATTTTATATATTTTTTTTGTGGCCTATTAGATGCATTTTATATGTATTAATGAGCTCTTTGGGGGCACTAACTAGCAAAACACTTAGATCTGTTACTGGCACAGTTGGGTATATAATTAACCGAGAAAGTACTTTAAGATAACATGCAGTTAGATTTCCAGTTTAAGCTAATGAGCATGGAAGATTTGCTCCCATCAATTTCCCTATCCTCATTATGACAAAATGAATATAACTTCTTAGACTTATGTTCTTACTTATTAGGGTCAGGTTCATGCAGGACAAGCACCTCTGCTGCTTCTGTAGATGAGAAATAATCGCCTCTACAGTTTCCACGAGTTCGGGCTTTCCAGCTATGAACGAGAGTGAGTATTGCCTTGCCAATTCTTGCAAAGGAGCTCTCTTCTTCTAAAGTGTGGTAACGATACTTTCTGATTCCTAGAAGGAAGATGATAAGAGAAATTGCCATGACAATGCAGCATATTCCAAACCCAATACTCCAGCCAATATTCTCCTCAATGTATGTCAAGAAAACAAATGCTGCGATAAGGCCTATATTTGGTCCAAACAGCCACCAATTGAAAAATGAGCTCCTAGATGCACTTTCCTCAGCATCATTTTGCTCAAACTGATCGGCTCCAAAAGCCAAGGCACATGCTCTGTATCCACCCTGAGCCAGTGCCACTATTGACAAAGAAAAGTAAAAGACTGAGACTTGAAAAGTAGTTGGTTTGCAAGCCATGTCATGTGCAGTCTGCTTGCAGTTTGGTGGGTGGAAACCAGGCAGTACAGTTGATAAGGTTAGCAAGCCCAAACCCTGCAGCTTATTCGTTTCATCAAATATCATGTTAGAAATATGTCGAAGACATTTGAAGCTTGTTAGGAATGCAAACGACCATTCCAAAAACTTTTCTCAAGTATTTGCATACACCATTAATCCGTAATGCCTTGCATGTGATACTACTATTTGAGAAACCAATACTAGATTTGAATGGCATTTCGTTCTGACATTCCCTTTCAGAATGCTGCACCTCTCATTGGGAAATTAGCATAGTAGAGATATTTAGAATAACGCTAATTTCGTTTATAATATCTCTATGAAATATAAAACTTGTCATACATTTAAGTTCTTCTACCTTGGAAAAAAACTATATCAGGAATTGCACGTGGAAAAAATACAGCACCTCTCACAGAGTACAAGATGGTTCTACAAGGCCGTCATTTTCTTGAGAAAAAAAAGCGAGGCATTTTCAATAAACTACAAGATAATAGATTTGCCTTAAGTTTTTGTAGAACTTTCTTGTATTTTACACAACATCTTGCTTTGAATAAACGCCTTACTATTTTGATGCATTTTTTGCATGGGAAGATGCACCTTTTCTTTCTGGTTAAGATGAAATTTGAGGGAAGCATAAATCATCTATGGTGGCTACTATTTTCTTTGAACCCTTTTATGGATGCCATTTTTTTCTTTTCAGAGGAAAATGTTTTTTGTTGTATGGGGCTTAAAACAATTTGCTGAGAAGAAGAACACATATATGGCTAACAATTTTCTTTATTGCTTTTCAATAGTAATATTTATTTACAAAACCAGCTGACCACTATCATTTTAAATTTATCAATAACGATAAATTTTTTTCATGAATTCAGAAAAATAATATATTGCATTATTGGTGTGCCTTCAAGAGAAGGTTGCATGCCAAAGGTTTTCTGAAGTTGCCAAGCATATATATGATTAAGCATTGACTAGAGGTAAAACAGGTTATATAGTAATTAAAGGAGTTCTTAATTATAGTAGAATTACAATATGAATTAGCTTTGAATTTATATCTATTTGAATTGTTATACAGGATATTTACGAAGGATATGCAATGTGAAATGGCTTGGAATATGCTCTCATAGATTCCAGTTCTAACCGATGAGGCATATTTCTAAAAACATGGGATACTAAGATTTGCAAAAATCATTAGAAGATATAGGGCTTAGGATTGGTGGGATGAAGAGAGTATATAATATGCAATTTAAAGGATATGAAATTATTAATTGTCTGCCATTATTATTTAAAGAATAAGTGGATCCTAAATTTGATAGGATTAAGCATCTTGGATATTTTACATAAAATAAAATTTGGATACAAATGACAATATAACTTTTAAATTCAAGGCTATCTAATTAAAATAAGAAAGTTTCATAGGATTAGTATTCTATATGGAAATTTTACTGAGATTTGAAGGACAAATTTATAAACCTTTAATTAATTGTTTGTATTATATTGATCGAATGTTGGAGAGAAGAAGCTTTGTCAATAGCTAAATTGAGTGTTGAGAAAATGAGATGATTAGAAGTTTGTGTGGGGCAAAAATACTAAAGACAAAATAAGAAATAGTTATATTTAAAGAATGATGAGAGGAGCATCTATTGAAGATAAGTTATTTATAAATAGATTCAGGCCACATGCATGTCAAAAAGTAAAATTGCTCATAAATAAGTTTATTTTTAAACTAATGGGGAAAAATAGATTTATCTAAGATAAGATGAATAGAATTAAAAAAAAAATTGCAAAAAATATGTAACATTTTATGTGGTTGTGAACATCAATTATCGACATTTTAAATAGGACAAGTGTTTGATGGAAAGATTCTTTGAGAGAATAAACTTCTATTGGAAGACTTGATTTTCTTATAATTAGAATCATCGTTAGATGAGAAGTTATCAAGGAACCTTTAGGGTTGAGAGAATAAACTTCAATTGAAAGACTTGATTTTTTTGGTAACTAGAATCTCTGTTAGATGAGAATCCATCAAAGGAACATTTAGGGTTTGTTAAAATTTAATAGTTCAAAAGTATCCTTTTAACTTCAATTATTTTACTATTTATTGTTCTAATTCTAGCTAATCTACTTTGTGGAGGAGCTTATGCAAGAAAAATGTTCCCTTACCAACTAAGGGTTTGTTACTTCGAACGATTTAATATACAAACGACATGTGCTGGCCTACTTTAATGTTTTGTAACTTCACTAAATGGGTTTTTCTTTGGCAAAAAGTGACGTTTTCTCTTACTAATTAGGGAAAGCACAATTGCCACAATCATGCATCTAACCAACCTTTTGATTGTTTGTCTCAATATGCTTTTGGCCAACTCATTTTCTCTTTGCTTGAACGTGAGACAAAATATTTGGCTAATTGGAGAGAGATGCTTCAATTTCAGAATCATGTCAAAATATTTTTCTTGTAAATTTTATTTGATCTTAATTATGCTAGCAATGAGCTTTTTAAGTAATAAAAGGTGCCCTCTGGAATTCCTTTTAGAGGCGACACTTAAGAAACCTTTTTAATATGTCTCTTTAGAATTTTCTTTTGGGAATTCCTCTCAATAGTCTCACCAACCTCCGTTCATGAATTTGTCTTTTGATTATCTTAAAAAATGGTATTAGTCTTGAGATTTAACCACTATAAATCCTTACCTCATTTATTTACATTTCATTCTCTCTCTGTCTCTCTCTCTTCTTTTCTCCTCACATAGTAGCCACAATATAATACTTTCTCTCACTAATTTGGGATTTTACTTCTGCATCCCTTCATGTTGGTATGCATCCACATGATTTTTTTATTTCCTTGGGGGCTTTTCAAGAGGTTGTCCTTCTTAAGTTTGAAGCAGAGCTCCTCATCTCCAAAGAAATCAGGCCCTCTCCGGAGGGGCTGGCGCTAAGTAGCGCTACCTCCGAAGGATTGCCTGACACCTCTCGACAATGACTTGATTCACGTTGGTCGGGCTCATCCCAATGAAACTCTGCACCGCCAATCAACCCGTCACCTTCCGGGTATCTGCAATAAGTGCATGCATCTTTTTTCGTCAGTACACTGGCATCTAAAAAAGAATCAGTTTGTCAGTCTCCGTCTATTGGATGACAACAGTAGATCAAGAAATTGAATGAGTAAGGTCTATACCTCGGAGGTCGTCATGTGGCTTCTATTTTGCTTTCTCAGTAGCTAAGACCTCATCTTGCTTCTCTCGTTCAGCTTGAATGGCATTAGAGACCTTCCATTCAGCTTCACTCATCTCGTGGTAAATTTGGGAGGCTAATGCTCTGTCAACCACTGATTAGTCTTGGGGAGAGAGACATAGGTTGGCATCATCCTGATTGACCAACAACCCTTCATGTGAGCGAAGGAAAACCTGAGCTTCCAATCTTTCAACTTATTCTCAAGCCTTCGAAGATGAAATCGACCTACAAACGAGAGTCAAACATATCCACTCAGATACGTTCGGAAGACATATAAGTAGTTAAAGAGCTCCATTGAGAACACTAACAACAGAAATAATTGCTCAAAAACTTCAACTATTTATTAAAGACTTCGACTTATAGCCTTACCACATTTTTTACAAATAAATCCCTAGACTTATTCTATATTTCCTATTTACAAATAGAACCATAAACTATATACACTTCTCAACACTCCCCCTCAAGATGGACAAAAGATGACTACTAAGCCCATCTTTTCACACAACCTAGGTAGATTTAATGAGCTAGGTCCCTTGGTGAGGCAGTCAGCTACTTTCTCTATAGCAGCTACATGACTTATCTCCAGTAATTCAGTATTCAACTTCCCATTGATGAAAAACCTATCAATCTCCACATGCTTGGTTTTTTTGTGTTGCACCGGGTTGTTGGCAATATTAATTGCTGACTTGTTGTCTCACTACAACTTCATTTGAGCTCTTTGGTCCATCTGGAGCTCTACCAATAGAGCTCTTAGCTATAACATCTCAACAACTCGTAAGGCCATGAACCTGTTCTCTGCCTCTTACGCCGACGTTGCAACTACAGACTATTTCTTGTTTTTCCAAGTGACCAAATTACCCCATATGAACATGCAATATCCTGATGTGGACCTCCTGTCATCAACACTGCTAGCCCAATTAGAGTCAGAGTAGCCCTAAATGCTTAAATGCCCATTTTTTATGAAGATCAACCCCTTCCTCGGTGCACTCTCCAGGTACCTCAGAATTTGATACCTCTGCATCCATGCGACTTCCTTGGATCATGCATGCAACAACTCATCACGCTTACTGCAAATGATATGTTGGGGCGAGTGACCAGATAGATGAGATAACCTACCAATCTCTGGTACTTGTCACAACCAACTAGTTGTCTTGCCTCTGCGCTTAACTTTCCCAACTGATCAATTGGTGAATCTACAAGCTTGCATCCCAACATATTTGTCTCTGTGAGCAAGTCTAGCACATACTTCCTTTGAGATAAAACAATCTCATTTGCTCCACGAGCCACCTCAATCCTGAGGAAGTATTTAAGTTGTCCCAGATCATTCATCTCACTCTTTGCACAAACTTGATTTCAGCTGAGCAATCTCTCCCTCATCATCATTAGTGACAATTATATCATCTACATACTCAACAAAAATAGTAATGTAACCACGATATTGTCGAAAGAATACTGTGTGGTCGGCTTTGATATGTTGATAGCCCATGTCTACCATTGCTCTCCTAAATCTGTAAAACCAAGCTCAATAAGACTGTTTCAAATCTTACAGTGTCTTCTTCAGTCTACATATATTGCCCACTGTTTGGTTTGTGTTGAAGCCTGGAGGTATCTCCATGTACATATTTTCTAGCAGATCTCCATAAAGAAACACAATCTTCACATCTCGTTAGTGTAACCTCCATCCACTATTCATAGCTAGAGAGATGAATTTCCTGACTGTGCTCATCTTTTTCACTGGTGAAAATGTCTCATCATAGTCGATGTCACTATATCCTTTTATCACCAACCGTGCTTTACAGCGATCGATCTTTCCTTCTGAG